TTATCGCGTAGACATTGAGTTGCCATTGTCATGAGTTGGCAAGTGCTTGGGGCACAAACTCCTGGATACTAGCAGCACTGCCTTTGTAGTTCATCTTTCCAGCCTTCTTTCAAGCTCCTTTCTTGTATTGGAAGAGATTGCCAAGTTTTTAAAAGCTAAGGGCCAGATAATGTTGCCACATGGTGGATCACGTGATATCATAAGTATACTGGATTATGCGGATTGTGACTTTGAGCAAATACGCCCTCATGCAGCAGTCTTCTATAGGGCCGTTCGATACTCTCTTTAGTATTATACACTCTTGGTATTATCTACTCTTGGTAGTATCTATGGCTATGACTAATTGCACATAATAATGCGCTTCTGCCCCGTTGACCGTAATTTCTAATTATTCAAATCAGAGTAATGAATACGCCCCATTTGAACAAGATGGCTTTTATATTTGATCGAGATCTTTTTCTTGTTCTTTTGTCACTAACAGTTGTCACTACTCTAAAGGAAGTATACGGTGCTGGTAGGTATTGAATCATAGTAAGTTCAAATTGATCTTGTGCCCTTCTAGGTATAACAGTTGCTCCTACCTCCGCTAATGTTTCTATCTATGACACAGCAAAGTTTAATTGTGAAGGAACTGGCAATGTACTGAATTGGCTAGTAGAGAGTGCTCCACTGACAGATTCTATCAAACAACAAAGAGATATATCTGTTACTGGTCCTGGTGGTGGTCCTGGTAACTTATCATCTGTACTTACTATCATTGGGTTACCTGTTAATAATGGGATTCAAATTTTTTGTCAGACTGTATCATATCCTCCATTTGTACAAGTGGTCTCTGGTGGTACACTAACAATAAGAGGTTAGTCTATTCTACAAATGTGGCTAATTCATTTTCTAATAGGAATATCACCAGTTGAAGACATACAATGGTCTAATGATGATCAGTCCTTGTCATGGTCTCCTCCTTCTTTCTATTCTGATGATATACCACTAGGAACTGTCCCTACATATAATGTACTAGTGAATGGCACTAGTTATATCAATACCACTGATACTAGTGTATGGTTGGATACTACTGAACTACCTTGTACTAATTTTACTGTCAGTATTACTGCATCTGTTGGACAATATGTATCACAGGGGAGAGAATATATATTTAACATCATTCAAAGTATATAAAATACACAAATGAAATTATTATTTTTGCTTTTCATCAGATCACACTATTGATAAGGAAAACCTCACAATGACATTTAATGAATTTAGCAAGACATTTGATGTTAATCTTACTAGCTCAGTAAGAACTATACTAAAGTCCATTTGCGTTGACCTGAGTCCTCATTTTCTTGCTATAACTTTTGACTTACAAGTTTTACTGTAAAAGTAAACATACCAGTGCATTCCTCTCCTTTTGCCACATCTATTGTACTACTTAAGAGGTAGCTGTAGCTCTTTAGCTCCAAGTTGGTTATATAACCCATGCAGAAAGTACAGCCATTGTGTTAATTATTGGGTGGGGTCTGTAATCACTTCCTGGGCTCAGGTGAATGCAAATGGACTTTACTTTTATGAATATGTATTAACATTATTTCATTAGATACACAGTAATCAATCGTGTAAGTATATGATAGTTGGTACAGTGAAGCCTAATGAAGGTATAGAAGAAAACACTCAAGCAGTTGAAGCAGATGACAAAGAAGAAATGTTTTCATACAGAATGATTGGATTAAGACCATGTACAAATTATACTGCTCTTATTGAGACCATTACAAATTTTTTGATTCCATTCTGTAAGTTTTTATGTTTAATCATGCCACCTATGTGTTCTATCTTACCTTAAGCTACATATAATGTACAAGATGTGCTAGTATCTATTGAAGGGAATGGATCAGTTAGTGTACAGTGTGTGTTTGTATCAGGATCAACTGCTGATGGATGTCATGTGATATTTACTGATACTAGTAATGGAAGGAATGAATACTTTAATATAACTGGATCAGGCAATACAATAGTATCAGTATCAACCAGTGGAGTGTATAATATAATTGTTCGTGATGTTATTAATGGGTACATTATTCCATGGAATTGTGTACAACCTAAACAAGTTAGCGTGACTCTTAGTACAACTGCTACTTCCTTTAATGGTAATTACATAACATTGTAGTAATTATTAATTATTATTATTATTAGGAGGCAGCGCTATCAGCTCTAGTTCTTCCTCTACTGCTATCAGTAGTTTAACTTCTGATATTACTACACCATCACCAACTGATATTATTGGAAATGATGATACACCAGGTATTGACTGACATGTATATGCTTACTTATTTCACAATAGTTTGTTTTATATTCAGGAAATGCTGACAGCTTAATGGTTTATGTCATTACTAGTGTGGTATTTATTGTTTTTATAATGATGATAATAATATCCTTTACTTTGTGTGTGGTTGTTGTGACTAAAAGAAAGCAAAAGAACAAAGTTACACTAAATGCAGGTAAATGACTCATTGTTATAAATGGTATATGTCATTATTATTATTATTATGTAGAAATTGCTGCCTGTCATCAACCCCAAGCAGAGATGAGTCATTATCAAGAGATACCTATTGGAACAGTATCTATTGATGTGTCAAATGATGAAAGATCTTCAGGTCCAACAAGTGAACCAGTACAAGGGAATATAGTGGATCCTTATCATGTTTCTTCTGATGAATTACTAGCTATAAGGAATGTAAGTTACTATTGAATGAATCAATATACTTTATAATGGTCTCAATGCTTATGTACATTATGTTCTATTGTTTATCACAGGGACATTCTGTTCAACAGGATAATTCTCTTGTCACTACTACATTGCCACAAGAGGTAATATTATTATTTGTAGTTGAAGCCATAATGATATGCTGTTTACTGCCAAAATGCTGATTACCTGCAGCGTACACTTGTTTTGAATAGCAAGAATAATGTTTATTGTTAGTTTATGATAACAGTGTGACTTACAAGCTTTAATGATAAGGATCTGATATACTATTATATATAATAATAAGTATAAGTTCTTAACTAATTGAAATGTGATTTGTGTGATAAATAATGAGTGTAAACATCTCTATAATGAGATTCATGAGCTGTACTCCTTCATTATAAATTATGATAACACATTGTACTTCTAACAATTGTTTTTGTATGTTGTGCACTTTGTAATGAGTTTCATGCTGTAAAGCTGTGATAGCATAAATATGTGAGCAAACTGTAGCTTTAATTTTTATTCTGATTATTAGGGACAAACTCAAGACAGTTCATCATCCAGCTCTGACTCTTATGGCTCACCTCCAAATAGTGCTGCTCCATTGATACGGCATGATAATGAGAACACTGGCAATACTGATTCTACTGTTACTGTTAGTAGCAGTACTGCTACTTATGCTGTTATTGGTAGGAGGACTGATACTGCTGATGTACCACCACCTACTGTCCAGCCTGTTGAATATGCTAATGTTGCTGGAGATATTAGCAAGGTATTGTAATAACAATGATACTACAAAAGTTTGATTACTTGCATTAGAAAGGAGTGGTCAATCCTTACAAGATTAAGTCGAGTGACATTTCTGATGAGGTGAGCTTTATTGTGTTTAGTTATCATTAATTTTTTATTATCTAATATTAGGCTGCAGAAGTTCCTCCTCCTTCATATGATGATTTGGGCACCATTACTGATCCTGTCATTGAACCCAGTACTGAGTCTAGTACTGTGTCACCTCAGGCCGCACCAAATGACTATTCTTATTCTCAAGCTGAAGAAGTGTCACAAATGAATGGAGCTACTACTCTCTGTGTTACATCACCAACTAAACAAACTAAATATGGTCAGTATGATGTGTATATTTTTGCTAATAGTTCAAGAAACTGACTGATACACATGTATATGTATATTATACATTATTTTATTAATTTTATTCAATTTTAGATTCCGATAATCACTCATCAAGTCGTTGGTTTGAAAATCTCATTGATGATAATATTGAGTCTACTTCTCTTCTTGTCTGGAAATTCACTCAACATCCACATAAAGATAACAATATTGCTGCTGCTACTTCCACACAAGATGAAGAAGAGGCTGTTGATGATTGTGCTACAATGCCACTTCAAAACCTTGATCGGGAAGAACCTGGTCATTTTGATGTATTGATAGTTCCTCATTATACACCACAAGATCCACAGCAATTGGAAGTAGAGGAAGACATAAATAATGAAGCGTATGTGTGTTCATTTGGTAAGGAAGAGAATGAGGAAATAAAGAATGAAGACAAGCAAGCTTTGGTGAAGAATAATACTGAAGCTGAAATGAAAATTGAAGATAATGATGAATGTGTATTATTTTTAAGTCTAATGATCATATGCCTTGCTTGTGAAATATTGCTTAAAGAAGAGAAAGCCCAAGAAGAGAAAGCTTTATCGAAAAATAATTGCAACATTGGTGAACTTGATACTCAAGTCAATAAGCAAATTGAAGTTGAAATTTTTATAGATTATGCTTGCTTTACTATGGATGATGCTTACATTACTACAGATGACGATTATGATAATATTACTACTGATGTTTATATTACTACAAAAGTAGCCATTGTTAATCTAGCATTGATGGAAATTGAAACCAATGTAATGGCATTTCTAAGTTCGTTAACAGCAAGTTTTCAAAAAGTATTCCAATATCAACCTCTTATTAAGGTACTTATGCTCAATGAGAAGTTCATAAAAATTATTAAAAAGATCCTGGCACAAGCAAGAAATATATTTTCTATGCTGTACATAGCAGCCACTGGGGGCCAACCTGAATTTCAAATATTGTCTGTTGTGTGTTAATATTACAAAAAACTTGCATAATGCTTCCTTGTATGTCAATTTATATTATTTGTTTTCCCTTTTAGAAACTCCTGCTTATTGCTTTTTTGTTACACTAGTTGTTACATGTATTCATGATTATTATTAATAATTATTGTTCATTTATTTCGAATTATTTGAAGGAATTTCCAAAGTAAAACCCTAGTTTCGCAAGCCAGACCCTTCCTGCCTACTGTCATTGGGCATGGGGTGGACGGCTGTAGGTTGGGGAATGGTCTGGCTAGCAACCATTTTAGCGACTAAAGGCCTCCATACACTAGGCAAAAACTGTTCTATTTCTGGCAACATGTTGCTTACAAGATCAAAGTAACCACAAATGTTGCCAATAACATGTTGCCTAGTGTATGTTGGGCTTAAGATTTTAGTAAAACTCCTCCACCTACGATGAAATGAACTTTGCAGTGGCTATAGGTCCGGTAACCGGATGTGTACAGCAGAGCTATAGATCCGGCTGTTCGTTTTTCTCCCTAAAACAACCTTGTACACATGCGCATTGATGCAAAATTGAACTTATTTTTTATCATGAACTTCTGTTCTAAGCTATTGAGGGACTTCTAAAACCTAGTGGATGTTCACAGAATTAATTTTCACAAATTGCCACTTTTCTACCATCTTGTACTGTATTAAATTGATTTTCAAGGAATTTAATTTCACGAATCTTCAAAAATCTGCAAAATTTGTTATCCTCAACTATATGGTAATAAAAGTTCATAAAAATTGGGTATGTTTTAGAGCCAATTTTTTGTCTTTATATAAACCACCCTGAACTCTTTAAATTTTTGGAATTATGGCTATTAAATTTTTGGCTCTTTTTAAAATTGTTATTTTTTACTTAGATAAGCCAGTATTATCACCTGATGATGTGTATGCCATTGCTACTTGTAATGGTATACAAGTGGAAGGACAGAAAGACAATGACACAGTCATTATGGCCACAGTGAAGGACTCTCTTAATCACACTGTGCATCGTTGCAACATTTCATCTTTGCCATATCTGATTAATTATACTGTACTCCCTCCTGATATTGACTTTAATATTGAATTTGTTGGTGTTAATCCAGCTGGAGTGGAAGGAGCATTGGAACAAACACTTTCATTTGAATTGTAAAGTTATAACTAATGGCATTAATAATGTAATATAATGACAAAAAACCTCTGTCCCACCCCTCGCTTGTTTTATAATACGCATGCAAAATATAAATGATAACTAGTTCTTTATGTTCTAGTCATTATAGTACCTCCTAAATCAAGAACAATTTCTATCCATGTTACAGCAGAATTTATTTGTCAAGGAACTGGGAACGTATTGAATTGAACTGTGCAGGGTAGCTCTCTTAATGAAACTGTCAAACAACAAAGAAACATAACAGCTACTAATATTGGTTCTCCTGGTAACTTATCATCAGTACTTACTATTGTTGGTTTACCTGATAATGATGGGATTAGGATTAGTTGTCACATACAGTTATATTTTTACAGTTATATTTACCTTTTGATCAAGTATTCTCTGGTGCTACACTAACATTAAGAGGTTAGTGTATGCATAATTGTTAATTAACACCTTTCCAAAAATGCACATTTTATTTTCCATATATTTATTCACAGGTAACATCTAAAATGTCTATTTTTTGTAAAACTGTACTTTATGGCATGATGACACCTGATGGAATGAATAATCCTCAATTAAATATATCTAACGAGGGCAATTATTTATTAGTGTTTAGAAATTTAACGCCATTTCAAATATACACTGCTAAAATTGGATTACAAATTCCTTATAAGAATGATGAAATTAAATTGAGAGAGTGTCCACACTGTTATTTTCATTTATTTTAGTGTAAAAACTTAGCTACATACAATGTACAAGATGTGCTAGTATCTACTGAAGGGAATGGATCAGTTAGTGTACAGTGTGTGTTTGTATCAGGATCAACTGCTGATGGATGTGATGTTGTTTTTACTGATACTGATCAGGAATCATCTTGTAATGTGTCACTACTGCTGAACCAAGAGCCTACACTGGTAACACTACCAGCTGGTAATTACACAGTGACAGCTTACGACAATATTAATGGATCACTTTATGGACCTGTTATCCAATATCCATCATCAATAGAAATTCAAGCTACTAGTACAACTCCTCCTAGTAAGTGACATATAAAACAGTTAATAAACAATACTTGCTATTATTTATTAGTAGAAGCCAGTGAAGGCACTAGTATTACTGTATCTCCAACATCTTCTAGTGCTAGTGATATTACTGAACCTCCAACAAGTACACAGTTTCAAATTTTGTCATAATCAAAATTTTTATGTCAATTAGTAACTATTGTTGGAGGTTCTATAGCAGGTTTTGTTTGGTCTTTGTCATTACAATACTAATAGTACTAGTGTATAAGAAAAAGACTAGAGCTGGTCTAGGTTTTAGTGGTGAAATGAAAATGAAATGGGGTAAAAATTAACATAGTATGGTGTTAGCAAAGCGTAACAGTTATATTAGTAGTTTGTGAGATTGTATCTGATCGTTATTATTGTGACTATTATTGTGTTATGATAGCTGCATGCCAATCATAATCTTTTTTATTTCATAGGAAGCCATCTCAGAGTCTTCATCATCAGGGTATGGTGCATCGCAGTCACTGGAAGAAAATAGAGTCTAGTGCAGTAAATGTAATATTTTTAATTTTAAATTTATATTTAATTTACTACTATTTTAGACACTATGGCACCTCAATAATTCAAGGACCAAATTGACATCTGTCATTGGCATTTTTTGTGTAATTTAACAGTTTGTATCATGTTCATTTGTCTTATGTATCATTAGTTAGAGTTTTTTTGCTGTTAATTTTAAGTTTAATAATAATTGCTTGCAATTATAACTTAGTCAGCAATCAGCATGATTGGCATAATTTAGACAAACATTTTGGCTAGTTGGCTTGTATTCTTGGTTATTTAGAACAACCATGTACTGTCTCTTCTGTATTCACATTCAGTTACTTCGTCCATGCATACATAGTTGATTACAATAATACCACTGGGTGTTTGTGTTTTATTCATTATAGTTATACTGAATTATACATGTACATTAATTGTGCGTACATGTTGCTT